ACACTCAGACACATTACTGGGAGTATTATTGCTGTGGAGCTCTGTTATACACTCAGACACATTACTGGGAGTATTATTGCTGTGGAGCTCTGTTATACACTCAGACACATTACTGGGAGTATTATTGCTGTGGAGCTCTGTTATACACTCAGACACATTACTGGGAGTATTATTGCTGTGGAGCTCTGTTATACACTCAGACACATTACTGGGAGTATTATTGCTGTGGAGCTCTGTTATACACTCAGACACATTACTGGGAGTATTATTGCTGTGGAGCTCTGTTATACACTCAGACACATTACTGGGAGTATTATTGCTGTGGAGCTCTGTTATACACTCAGTCACATTACTGGGAGTATTATTGCTGTGGAGCTCTGTTATACACTCAGACACATTACTGGGAGTATTATTGCTGTGGAGCTCTGTCACACACTCAGACACATTACTGGGAGTATTATTACTGTGGAGCTCTGTCATACACTCAGACACATTACTGGGAGTATTATTGCTGTGGAGCTCTGTCATACACTCAGACACATTACTGGGAGTATTATTGCTGTGGAGCTCTGTTATACACTCAGACACATTACTGGGAGTATTATTGCTGTGGAGCTCTGTTATACACTCAGATACCCTAACAATATGGAGCTCCTAGAAAAGAGGGACATTAAGATAGAAAAGAAAGTCTAAAATAAGGACTCAACCTCCTTAATAGGGACACTTGGGAGGTATGAAGGCATCATATCACAGATAGTAATAGGGAAAGTGTCAGATCACAGACATTAACATGCAGAACTGTTCATCATCGTTGAAGGAAATGTATTGTACGGTCAGGCATCAAAAACAACCCAAGCAGTGCGAGCGACTAGTTAATAAGGGTCCCCAAACAGAATAGGCCGTTACACCATCCACAAAGGGATAACTTGCATCCTTCCGGCCTTAGCTCCCACCATTGTTAACTGTTCACAATACAAGTACAGCCTGGAGGGAAGCCAAGCATCCCCCCTACACAGACACTCACATACACACCCACCCACACAAGCCCCCTGACACACAAACACAAGCCCCCAAAGACATACCATGCACAAGCAAAACAAATGCACCTTGACACACACACACACACACACACACACACACACACACACACACACACACACACACACACACACACACACACACACACCCTGTTAGATATGTACTAATCCCTTAAAGGGACACTGTCACTGCTCATTCTTACTTATCCCTTTATTTCCTTGACCTTTCTCTATATTTAACAAATATGTAAGGAGTGAAATATAAAGGTAAATGTAGAAATGTCTACTTCTTTATTCTGAAACTGGGTGACCCCATCCGGCGACATAGCGTGGGTTGCCTGCGCCCGGGGCAGGACAAGTATTGACAGTATGTTCAAACGGGAAATCACGCTATAAATAGGCTTTATGTAATTCACGATAAAGATTACATGAGGACAGTACGGCTGTAATTAGCAAGAAAAATACTGTGAAATGTTACGTGGAAATGTTTATTTGCCCCGTCATGTTGAAAAACTGTGCAGAATGTTTGTATTAGAGGGAGCGCTATTTTTAAAAATGTAATATTGTTACTTTCTGTTTTTTTCTTTTTTAAATTTTGGCCCCTAAGAATTTTGGCCCAAGGCAAGTGCCCCTGTGTCTCCCACGTTATGCCACTGCCTCCATCTTAGCTATGGATCATTGATATAAGCTCCGTCCTTTACACCTGACAATTAACATTAAAAAAAAGCATACAGAGAAAATGAACAATGTTTTCATATTTTCACGTTTCATTTGCTGTCTATCTATTTATGTCTGAATTGGATTATGATGTCATTATGATGTCCTTTTCTAAATTTCTGACATATAATTAAAAGAAAATGCAGCACCTCATGAAAAAGATAAAGTAATTAGGTATACTAAGCACTCTCTCTTGAACAGACTGGGCGGTTAGAAGGGTGGAAGAGCACAAAGTAAAACCCATTGTTCATCATTCTCTGGCATCTAGTGCCCTCAGTTGGCATGGGCAGCAACTCCTGGCACAGTCTCTGCAAGACTGACTTGTGCCACGTATGAGTATATATAACAATGATTTAGTCCTTTTTTTTCACACACCCAATCTGATGAGAACGTTACCCTAATTGTTCTCCCAATTTTATAGAAATTCCCACCATGAGCACATCGTTGGTAACATTTCCATTGGAATACATTGCGGCTATGCTTTCCTACTGGGAAGGTTTAATGCGCTTGCAGCAGTCTACGCGCATGAGCATAAGCGCCTCCCGTCGGATGATGTCGGAGGGGGCGGAGCATAGACCAAGCACCAAGGAAAATCAGTGCTGTAATCTGTTGAGTACAGTAAAGGGTTTTGTATTCCTCACACTTTAGTATCCCTTTAAGGCAGCAAGTGAACAGTCAGTTCTAGAATTTCACATGTTGGAAGCAGGTAAAATGGGCTAGCGAATAGAACTGAGTGACTTTAACAAGGACCAAATAGTGATGGCTAGATAACTGGGTAAGAGCATCTCTAGAATGGCAAGTCGTATGCAGTGGTTAGTGGTGCAAGGAAGGACAACTGGAGTACTGGCATAAAGGTATTAGGCGCTTAAGGCTCATTGATGTATAGGGGAGTAAATGCTAGCCCGTCTGGTCATATGGAACAGCTACTGTAGCTCAAATTGTTGAAACGTAATGCTGGCCAGGTTAGGAAGGTGTCAGAACACACAGTTTGCTGCATATGGGGCCGCATACCTGTCAGGGTGCCCATGGTCAGAATTGGGCCATGAAGCAATGGAAAAAGGTTACCTGGTCGGATGAATCCAGTTTTCTCTACGATCGGGTGGATGGCCGGGTGCGTTTGCGTTGTTTACCTGGGGAAGAGATGGCAGTAGGAGAAGACGGCAGGCATGTGAAGGTAGTGGACAGACAAAACTGGCCTAAAAGAGTGGAAAGTAGGTAATGAACAAGGACGTAATATAGAGTAACACCGGATAAATTATACACAAACTCACAACTAATCTCGACTAGTATAAATGAGCCCCCATAATGACTAGGAAAATATAGTGACAAATAAGGATATTAAATCCTAAACGTACTAGGAGATAACTTGTGAGAAAACTGTAATATATCTAAATTTATATTGGCTAAAATGATATATTGGAAAGGTACTGGCACATCATAATCCACAATATAGAAACGTGCAAGATGATACAAAATCACTATTAGATCACAGTAATAGATCTAAAGTGTCAGGATCCTCGCTGTGATCTGAAATATAAAATGAACAGCCATAGTGCTTTTCATTCACTGCCCATCTCACGTTGAAGTGATAATTTTTGGGGAAAAACCTGAAGATTTGGTAACCCTACCTACAACTTAATATTAATTGTAATACGAGAAAATATGATCTGCTGAACTGATACACAACTTATGTTTACTTGTTAAACTATGAAAAGTAGTAACTCTAAGTCAGCGCACATTTTACAGGGAATTTTTTTTTGAGATCGCGAGACCCACTCAGTCTGCAGCTCTGCACTCGGCGGAGCTGCAGACAGGCTGGCTCTCCCGGGCAGGCGGTGTGGAGGGGCCTCGCACCCGGCGGCATAAAAGGCAAGCTCCCGGGCCCCCTCCTGTGTCGGGTCCTCGGTTTCTGAACGAGGATCCGACCTGTCACACTGCCCTAAGGTGATTTAGGCGTACGCGAGGCCCTCACCAGCGCGAGGCCTTAGGCGGCCGCCTAAATCGCCTAATTAGAGAGCCGCCTCTGTCTGCAAGGTTTTTTTTTAGAAAACTAATTATTTAAAATGTCTGCCTTTTCCTGGTCTTCATTAACTAACAGACCCATCTCTGTTTCCAGTGTACCTACACTTTAAATTTTTTGTTTTTTAGAACTGATGTACTTGAAAAGATGTTTGGGGTTGGTTTTACATTCTTTGGCTATCAATGTCTCATTTTCTAGTTCAGCCACTTTAATTGCCTTTTTGCAAGCGTTATTGGCTTCCTTACATCCTATATAGGATGCCTCTGATTTGACCGATTTAAATGCTTTAAATGCTCTTTTCTTATTTGTAATCTCTTGTTTTACTTCTCTACTAAGCCACATTGGTTTTAATGTGTTTCTTTTATATTTATTACCCAATGGTACATACTGAGAAATGTACCTTTCTAATATTTGTGTGAATAGTTTCCATTTATCCTCAGTGTTTTTATCACTAAGGAGTTTATGCCAATCGATATGTTGTAGAGCTGCCCTAATCTTATTGAAATTGGCTTTTTAAAATCATACGTTTTAATATACACCACGTGCTTTTGTTTATTTGAGTTTATTTTAAAGGACACTATATTGTGATCACTATTTTCCAAATGCTCCCCTACTTGAATGTTGGTCAAAAGATCAACGTTGTTTGTTATAACGAAATCCAGACAAGCATCCTTTCTAGTTGGTGCTTGTACCAGTTGTGACATAAAACTTAATTCCCCTTGCTGAAGTACTAGTCACTCTATTCCAATTTATGTCTGGGTAATTAAACTCTCCAATAATTAATGTGTTACCCCGATTTGCAGCTTTTTAGCTGTTCTTCCTCATTAATATTAACATTAGGTAATTTATAACATATCCCATCCAATAACTGATTACCCTTTGTTTGCCCCAAGCAGATATCTACCCATAAAGCTTCCACATTTTCCTCATCACACTCCACATGCCTAAGATTTGACTTTAACTCATGGTTGACATACAAACATACCCCACCACCCTTCTTGTTTTTCCTATCCTTCCTAAATAACGTGTACCCCAATTTAAGTTAACTGCTCAGTAATGTGTCTCATCCCACCATGTTTCTGTTATGCCTATTATATCATACTGTTTAGTATTGCCTCTGTGTTCATGTTTAATGGTTTGTGTTGTGTTTAGCTTTTTTTTGTGGTGTGTGTCATGTTTTTGTTTTTGTAAATACTCAACATTTCTAATTTTGGTTCGGTTTCCCCCAAATTGTTTCCAGATTTGCGAGGACTGCACATCCCAAATCCCTTTGTAGACTTCATGTCCCCTTTCATGTGACTCACTCCCCATCATGCCCAGTGTCACATTTCTGGGCTTGTCACCCCCCACACAACTCTGCACACGCAGAAGGGGGGGTCACACGACATAAAGCGAGAGGAGGGAGCTGGCACATGGATTATAGGGGGAGACACGCAGCCCTACAGTCTATATAACTCTTTCTATGAAATTACAAAGATTTGCTGTTTTTTGAAATGGTGGGGGGAGTGTGTTAGTTCCTTTAGACAAAGCTCTGCACAATGCATGCAGAGCAGCTGGTTATTTTATATAATAAGTATTAGAATAGATACTTCAAAGACTAATCAATAATGTGATACACGATATATATATCTATACATACATATATCTGTATAGCGCTCTGTACAGTTAGAGTGGAAATTGCCAATCCTATTCTGCTCTTCTGAAACCCCGACCTTGGCTTTTTTTGGTGACAATAATGTTGGCCTATTTTACTGTTTTTATTCTCTCACCTCCCTTAAATCATGCTCCGTTAAGGTAACACTTCAGGCACCATAACGACTATAGCCTGCTGTAGTGGTTATGGTGTCAGGAGTGCCATGCTGTCCTCCCAGAGTAAGTAGTCAAGGCATTCAAGAATAGTTTGACAGCTTACCTGGGTCACCTGGACGCCTGTGCCACATCCAGTCTCTCCTGCAGGAAAAGTCAGATGTCTCTCCTGAGCTGGGCATAGTGCTTGTTGCCTGCATGCCCTCTGCTGACCCTAAGAATGGCCCTGATTAGCTCAGTGGAGTTAACCCGATTTTCCTGCAAGGAGAATCTGGAAGCAGGCAGTGCAGCTGTTGGCACCCGGCTGGACCCAAGTAAATTATCAAAACATTCTTAAATGGTTTCACTATACTTACCCTAGACGACACAAGGGTATTCTTGGTACCACAACCACTACAGCGGTTCAAGTTTAAGGACTTTTGTCAGCCAGATTGTCAAAGGTAGTCAAAGACATTGGTGTCCAACAATATAAAAGCTAAGTAGGAAATTTAAGGCCAAATTCGGTCATGGTTTGGCTGAGTTGATTAAAATTCTCTCCAGAAAAGCTAGCATTTTAATTTGACTGTTTTATCGTAAAATTTCATTCTAACATTTCATACTGTTTTGAATAACCCTGAAAATTGCATTATATCTACTTCATCTTCAGAATAAAAACTCGACGGAGGAGGACAAGAGCTCCTGTATGTCACAAAGGTTCTGCAGGACTGGTTTTAATGTAAATATTTCAAATAATTCCGACAAAGCTATGTTTGCAATGCATCTACTCTGGCTCCCTCTTCTGGGTAAAAGGCAGAAGTGCAGCATGTAACAACCCAAATTAACCAAACCACATTGTGCATCTGCTTAAAGGGCAACTGTAGCTTCACAGAACTTGCAACGTTATGTTCACTTACTCTGTTTAACAAATAAATATTTGTGAGGTGTGGAAAAAAATGTAATTAAATGGATAAATCTGCATCTCTATATCCTGCAACTGGGCGCCTCCATCTTTGCTCCCTGTCAATCATTGTTATAAATTCTGTCCTTTACACTTGACAGTCAACATAGAGAAGATTAGATTTTGAACCACAACAATTTTTTTTAGGACTTAAAACAATAAACTGATTTGTTACATTGTAATACTATAGCATTTGCTAAAATCCTGATTATAAACCACTGTATTTTGGTTTTTGAAACAAAAAACTGCAGATTAGTCTAAGGTTCACTGTTTCCTGAACCTTTGGCTTCACTGTGTACATATATCTTGATACGGACTATACGGAAAAAGCTCAGTGAATTCAAGAGTGGTACTGTGACAGGATGCCACCTTTGCAAAGTCAGTTCTTGAAATGTTATCCCTATATTCAATGGTCAAATGTAAGTGGCATTGTTGGAAACAGGAACAGCAGCAGATCAGCCACGAAGTGGAAGACCACGTAAAGCCACAGAGCAGGTCACAGAGTGCTGAGGCACATGGCGCGTAAAAGTTGCCAACGCAGAGTTGAGAGTTCCAAACTTATACTGGCGTTAATATCTGCACAAATACTTAGTGAAATGGGTTTCCACGGCCAAGCAGCTGCATGCAAGACTCACATCACCAAAAACAATGCCGGATCTAGTCGTGTAAAGCAAGCAGCCACTGGACTCTGGAGCAGTGGGAAATGTGTTCTGTGCAGTAACAAATCACACTTCTGTTTGGCAGTCTGATTGGTGAGTCTGGGTTTGGTGGATGCCAGGAGAACGTTACCCGACTGACTGAATTGTGCCACCTGTAAAGTTTGGTGGCGAAACGATACTGGTACGAGGCTGTTTTTCAGGTGTTGAGCTAGGCCCCTTATTTCCACTGAAGGGAAAACTTAATGCTTCAGCAGACCAAGACATGTTGGTCAATGCTGTGCTTTTAACTTTGTGGGAATTGTTTGGGGAAAGACATATTTTATTTCAGCATGACAGTGCCCCGGTGCACAAAGCAAGGTGAATAAAGGCATGGTTGGATGAGTTTGGTGTGGAAGAACTTGACTTGCCCACACAGAGTCCTGACCTCAACCACATCGAACACTTTTGGGATGAACTGGATCGGAGATTGTGAGCCAGGCCTCCTCGTCCAACATCACTGCCTGATCTCACAAACACTCTACTGGATGAATGGGCAAAAATTCCCACAGAAACATTCCAAAGACATGCGGATAGCCTTTCCAGAAGAGTGGAAGCTGTTATAGCTGCAAAGGGGGTACCAACTACATAGTAATGTCCATGTATGTTAGAATGCAATGTCATAAAAGTCCCATTGTAATGGGCAGATGTCCCAATACTTTTGTCCATATAGTGCAAGTCAAATCCATCATGTTTTCATGGACATATATCACTTCTGCGCGTTGATAGACTATACATGAAAGTTCTGCCCTGCCGTATGTAGCAATCATGTGCTACATAACTTGGCTTAATTTCCCTCCGGCAGCATTTGAATTCTGCATACTGCAGGGAAGCACTTCGTATGTGCTGCTCATCAATTTCTATAACCATCACTGATCACTATGTTGGTTTTGTGAAACAACAAGTTTCAGATGAGAAACTACTCAAGGCTGAGATCGTTAGCATTGCTATGATTAATTAGGTCATTTCTCACATCCCTGTTTAAGCCCTGCCGACAGAATGCAGGATTCACTGGCAGCCCTAGACTGGAACTCTAAATACCATTTTGATAATGCTGGTGTTCAGGCACCTTAGTACAAATACTCCAAGCAAATCTGAATATTATCTCTTTGGTGTTTATTCAGTAAACATGGAATTAGTAGTGGACTGAAAACAAAATTAAAAAAAAAAAGTTCAGGCTAAAATATCCAAAATGTGTTAGTTCAGGCCAGAATAGCCGAGAGGGGAAAAAGCCCCCATCTTAAGTGAGTTGGAGCTGTTTTCATGATTGACTACAGTGGCCTTAATTGTCCAACGTGTGTCATTTCACCACAACACACATTTAAATGAACAAGCTGCAGGGTTAGACGCTCACGGGAAGAGCAGGATAAATTCTTTCCAGACAAAAACACCGATATTAGAAGGATAAATTCATTACAGATCTGCCAGTGAAAAGTTGGCCGGCAAAATGATTTCCCTGCAGGTGTTACTAGAGGGTTAAATTTCCAAAAACCACAAGCACAACAGATACAGCTCTCCGAAGCATCACCCCCTCTCTCCTGCCCATCTCCTCCCCTCCCAGTGCTGATTGGTGACAAGTTTCTATATTTGGTCCCTACCTCTTCAAGCTGTCCAAACAGCTGGATGTTGAGTGACAGGAAGGGACACACTGAGATTTAGAGGGACAGTGTACAAGTCGATACAGGACACAGAGATAGCTGTAGAGGGAGTGCTATAGTGACCCCCAGCCTTCCAGTGGAATTATCGTAGATTGCTATCTGTGTCACAGTACCATACATATTCTCTGCCCCCACTTCTGCCCAAGAAGTTGCCCAGCTGGAATGCATAGATCTGAGTCCATTTACTGCAGACAGGAGATTACTCTGGCTCAAGAAGGTAGCGATTCATGGGTCCCTCCTGCGGCTGCTGCTGCCCCTGACTCTGGCCTGACTTCCAGCTCTCCTCCAGCTCCAGAAAGCCCTGTCCCCAGTCCGCAGCCTGGGTATGGCTACAGTGCTTGCGAGGAAAAACCTGGCGACCCCAGGATCCGGCGCCCCATGAACGCCTTCATGGTTTGGGCAAAAGATGAACGGAAGAGACTGGCACTGCAGAACCCAGACCTTCACAATGCGGTGTTAAGCAAGATGCTTGGTAAGATTGACATGACATGTTGGGTGGGCAGGCTATTAAAGACAGCTAACATTGGCATGAAGAGTGCGGCCGGTTACCAGACTGGCATTTAGATTGGCATGTGGCCTCTAGGTGGATATGCTGATAGGCATGGGGAGTTTTGGTGAATAGGCAGACTGGCATTTAATATCTACTTGGAGGAAAATGACTGGCATATGATGTAAAGGTGAGAATTAGACTGGCATGTGGTATGTAACTAAATGATGGCGGACTGGCATTGGATATACACATGGGCAGAGGATTCAAAGACAGGAATTCAGACAGGCATAGAATGTATTATTGTAGAATATCAGACTGGAATGCATTATGCAGGTTCAGGTTGTGAATATGATTAATTGATCCAGGTGAGGATAGTATGGGATATTAGACTGGCATGGTAAATGTAGATTTGGAGGGAAGCTGGTATGATATGGGCACAATGAGCTCTATGGGTTAGCAAGCAATGTGAACATGGAGGAGGAAAGGCTTGCATGGGTTTAGTTGATTGTGATGGGCACACTGGTAAGGGATGTGCCAGTCAGAGGGTAAGACTGGCATTGGAGGGTAGAATGGCACTGGATATGGGAATGGTTACATTGTTTATTAGGCTGAAAAAATGTACAATGCCGATCAAGTTACACAATTTTCCTGCATTTTAGTTTGATTTGTTGTACACTATATAAGAGCATTACATTTTCACAGAGTTTTTTTACGCTACTTATATGCAGTCGCTTTTGAATCCTATTTCTGTACATTATATTTTTATTCAATGTATTTAGGTTATTTGAATCCATATATTTAAATATATATCTTGGCCATTTCCAAGTGTTATATTTCTATTGAGTGTGTTTACACCATTTAACTGTATTATATTTCAGTTGCTTGTGTGTATACACATTATTATTATTATTATTATTATTATTATTCATTATTTTATAAGACAGATTCTGCAGCGCTGTACAATGGGTGTACTGACAAAAATTTAGTTATAAGCAGACAAAGCTGGACGCACAGGAACACATAGTGTTCCAGTAGCGAGATCAAAAATGTGAGGCTAATAAGGTTTAAGAAATCTAAATACTTTGCTTATATTCCTAGCAAAGGAAATGGACCGGGAACTGGGCATATAGGAAGGCTTGGAGGAGGGGGTGAGGACGGGATGTTGATTCAGGAAAATCATTCCAGCGTTCTATTCTAGAGACCTCTTAATTTTTGACATTTTATCTAATTGATTGTACTATGACTCACCACCCCCGATAACTATACTGACTAATTTCCTTCTATGCTAAAACAACCTTTTTCCAACACCAATATAGAGTTGTTGAGAGTTTTGTACATTGTTTCTGCTTTGCTTAGTTCCTCTGCCCACTAAGTATTAACTGACCCTTTCTCGAACTCTGCCTCCTACAGGTCAATCCTGGAAGAGCCTGAGTGCTATTGAGAAGCGCCCCTTTGTGGAGGAGGCGGAAAGGCTCCGGATTCAGCATCTTCAGGACCATCCTAATTACAAATACCGCCCACGTAGAAAGAAGCAAGGGAAGAAAATGAAGCGCGTGGAGTCTGCCTCTCTTCTAAGGAATGAAGGGTACAGAGGTGGCCACCAACCCACGAACATCACCCAGTTCCGGGAACTGCACACCTTGGCTTCAAGTGAGCTGGAGAGCTATGGTCTTCCCACCCCAGAGATGTCCCCTCTGGATGTTCTGGAGCAGAGTGAGCCAGCTTTCTTTCCGTCTCACATGCGGGAAGATACAGACCCAATGCCGTTCAGATCTTACCAACATGGACTGGACTTTGGCCAAGAGAAAACCCTAAGGGAGATTTCTTTGCCATACTCCTCAGCGGCATCTCACATGGGTAACATCCTTAGGACTCCTCCGTCCTCTGCTTTCTACTATGGCCCTCAGGTCGGGCCACCAGCCTGTGCACCACTTGGCCAGCTCTCTCCACCTCCAGAGGCACCTCCGCTGGACCCCATAGAACATCTTAGCCAGGCTGAGCTGTGGAATGATGTTGACCGGAACGAGTTTGACCAGTATTTAAACATGAGCAGGACACAATTGGCTGGGCAAGGTTATCACCTGCCAATGTCCAAGTTCAATCCCTCGAGGACTATACCATGTGAGGAAAGCAGCCTGATATCTGCCCTGTCTGATGCCAGTACTGCTATGTACTATAGCCCTTGTATCACTGGTTAGGAGGTCCCAGAAAACTAAATGTGGTGACATAAAGGAAGAGAGGGGCATAATCAGAGGGGTGAACATATATGTATGTAGGTAGTTGTGGAGCTGTGCATTGCCCGCTACAATGGTCTTTGCATGGACAAGACTATAAGCTACAGAGAAGTCCAAGAGAGAAAGAGGAGGTTAGTCGGAATAGAGGCTTTAGATATAGCCCACATGTAGCATAAATTGGGTCACTGGAAAAGTGAAGCTCTCACTCATGCAACATTCACAAAAATTATTATTGCTCTTTAGTGAGTTATACCATGCATGTACTCTTTCGTAGAGGTTCTCTGACCCAAGAATAATTAAAAAACCAAAGGCCATGGGTCAAATGCAGTAAGTGACGTAGGAAGAGGCTTCTAATCTAGGGATGCAAGATCTCAACTTTAAGGGGGGAAGTTAATTAAAAGTAAAAATGAAACCGTATGATACATCAGCAATTATTCTGATGAAGAGACCTACGGTTTACTTTTTCCATAGCCATACATACCCCCCAAGAAGGGACATCTTTCCCCTTGTGAGTAAGTGACCTTTGTACTATGAAATGTGCAAAGAATAAAGAATATATTGAAGGATGAATTACAAATGTTAAAAGAATGAAGCGAGATTTTCCAAACGGAAATTCCACTGATAAAGAAGGACTAAATGTCAAAATGCCCCAGAAGGAAGGAAGTGCCCCTTGACTTCTCCTCTCACCTATAGTCCCCCGAGGACCAGGCATTAACCCTTTGAGTGCCAGTCGGGTGATGCTTTTTGATTGTGCATGGTATCCAAAGGGTTAATGCACTAGACCTTTCCTCTAACACCTCTCGTTATTCAGGGGGTGCTGTAAGATTGTTCAGCAAAGAAAGAGTTAATTTCTTAACCACATGTAGCATCTCTATTTTTTGTGAATCTCTCGGACAGGATGGGGTTAATCGCAAGAAGCAGTGTAACAGTCAAGTGCAAGTGGGCACGTATGCCTGAGAGGGTATCATCTGATTATGGACTAAACTGTGCAACGGACTTCTGCTAATACCCCTCAACCTGTAACAGTGGGTGCAGGCAGTAATTTCTCCCCACAATGGGGTGATGTCTTGGCCAAGCCGGACCCTTGGGCATTTATACTGCCTGTAAAGGACAGAATAATTGTGGAGGGATGGTGATGGTAGAATTTCTACAGTGTGAATTTAAGACTTTGCTGTTTGTTTGTTTTTGTTTTTTAATTAAACATTTTTATAAGAGAATTCAAAAGAGCTTTTTGGCAAAATGGAATAAGCGCTCTGATTGGTTGTCATCTATCCTTTGAAAATATCAGACTACATTCACACATACTAAAATATATACACCATACAACTTTCAAATATGCACTCGGTCAGGCCTCTATAATTTGTACAGAGACTGCACCATGCATACACATGTAGCAAAAAGATGGACAAACATGCATTCACACACTGTAACACAGACACACACTGCACTTTGTATTCACACATTGTAACACAGACACACACTGCAATATGCATTCACACATTGTAACACAGATGCACACTGCAATATGAATTCACACACTGTAACACACACACTGCACTGTGCATTTACACATTGTAACACAGACACACACTGCAATATGCATTCACACACTGTAACACAGACACACAGTGCAATATGCATTCACACACTATAACACAGACACACACTGCATTGTGCATTCACATACTGTAACACAGACACACAGTGCAATATTCATTCACACAGACACACACTGCATTGTGCATTCACACACTGTAATACAGACACACACTGCACTGTGCATTCACACACTGTAACACAGACACACACTGCAATATGCATTCACACACTGTAACACACACACTGCACTGTGCATTCACACATTGTAACACAGACACACACTGCAACATGCATTCACACACTGTAACACGGACACACAGTGCAATATGCATCCACACACTGTAATACAGACACACAGTGCAATATGCATTCATACACTATAACACAGACACACACTGCATTGTGCATTCACACACTGTAACACAGACACACTGCATTGTGCATTCACACACTGTAACACAGACACACACTGCAATATGCATTCATACACTGTAACACAGACACACGTGCATTCACACATTGTAACACAGAGACACACTGCATTGTGCATTTACACACTGTAACATAGACACACACTGCAATATGCATTCACACACTATAACACAGACACACGTGCATTCACACATTGTAACACAGAGACACACTGCATTGTGCATTTACACACTGTAACATAGACACACACTGCAATATGCATTCACACACTATAACACAGACACACACTGCATTGTGCATTACACACTGTAACAGACACACACTGCAATATGCATTCACACACTGTAACACAGACACACGTGCATTCACACATTGTAACACAGAGACACACTGCATTGTACACACTGTTACATAGACACACACTGCAATATGCATTCACACACTATAACACAGACACACACTGCATTGTGCATTCACACACTGTAACACAGACACACTGCATTGTGCATTCACACACTGTAACACAGACACACACTGCAATATGCATTCATACACTGTAACACAGACACACGTGCATTCACACATTGTAACACAGAGACACACTGCATTGTGCATTTACACACTGTAACATAGACACACACTGCAATATGCATTCACACACTATAACACAGACACACACTGCATTGTGCATTCACACACTGTAACAGACACACACTGCAATATGCATTCATACACTGTAACACAGACACACACTGCAATATGCATTCACACATTGTAACACAGACAGTGTAATATGCATTCACACATTGTAACACAGACACACACTGCACTGTAACACGAACACGTTGTTGCAGCATACATACACATGGTTTATATAATACTTTATTATAGGATGCAAAACTGAGAATTGTTTATTATGGGCAGAGTAATGCCATAGAGAGGTTGCAGTTCATTTTGTATTACATTACATTATATTTTTAGGTTAGGGTTAGTATTAGTGTAAGTGTTAAGGTAGAGTAGGGGGTTAGTGTTAGAGTACTGCAGGGGTTAAGATGTAGTGTAGTATAGGGGTTAATGTTAGTGTTAAGGTTAGCCTGTAGTGTAGAGATTAATGTGTAGTGTAGTATATGGGGTTACATAAGATTAGTGGAAGTTACAGTCCTGGGCAGCAGCAATTTCAGTTGCAGTCATTAAATGGACACAGGTACTACTCAGGGGTGTAACTCCATTAACCAAACAGAGACGTTAGGCGGTCAGGAGCCCTGGAACAATGAACTTGCTTAGCCTCCTTATGTGAAGAATGAAGGGGGGCTCAAACTGATAGCCTGCCTAGGGCTTGTGCGATCTTATCTTTCTGTGCACATACCAACTCATGCAGTCACACAGACACACTCTAGACCAGTGGTGCCCAAAAGGTATAACACACATGATGGTTTGCATGCCTTAAGAATTACAAAGCATCATGGAAGCTGTCATTTTAAAACATCTGGGGTTCTACCTATTGGGCACCCGTGGCCTAGACTCTCTACACATACATGTACTGTGACATGCATACACACAGACACATCTTCTAACCTCTATACACATACATGTACTGTGACATGCATACACACAGACACATCTTCTAACCTCTATACACATACATGTACTGTGACATGCATACACACAGACACATCTTCTAACCTCTATAAACATACATGTACTGTGACATGCATACACACAGACACCTTCTAACCTCTATACACATACATGTACTGTGACATGCATACACACAGATACATCTTCTAACCTCTATACACATACATGCACTGTGACATGCATACACACAGACACCTTCTAGCCTCTATACACATACATGTACTGTGACATGCAAACACACAGACACCTTCTAACCTCTATACACATACATGTACTGTGACATGCATACACACAGACACCTTCTAGCCTCTATACATATACATGTACTGTGACATGCATACACACAGACACATCTTCTAACCTCTATACACATACATGTACTGTGACATGCATACACACAGACACATCTTCTAACCTCTATACACATACATGTACTGTGACATGCAAACACACAGACACCTTCTAACCTCTATACACATACATGTACTGTGACATGCAAACACACAGACACCTTCTAACCTCTATACACATACATGTACTGTGACATGCATACACACAGACACCTTCTAGCCTCTATACACATGCATGTACTGTGACATGCATACACACAGACACCTTCTGGCCTCTATACACATACTTGCACTGTGACATGCATACACACATGCTGTAACATACAGCATTTCATTAGTTGAAACATTGGACTCATTCTACAGGTTCACATTTCTTTCTCTAGAGGATGATAAACAGTATCTCCATAGAAGCCCTGCTTGACCACAGGTAAATAAATATCACAGCCTCGTCTCATTTTACTTCCTTCAAAGCTCCTCATCCCAAGTGTACCCAGCTTTTATACCTCTTCTATAAGTCTCTCCTCATTTTCTTTCTGTTTTTCCCTCCTTGAAACACCCTGCCCCCAGTATGTACCACTCCCAAGCCTCTTGTTAACCCTCCAATTTCCCCTCCCCCATTCTTTCTCTTCTTACATGTACTGTATAGCTATATTTCCTATGTACATGTGGTGGAATTCTTCATATTCTTTATAATTGTCTGTGTGAAGGTAACCTTTAGTCTCAGTCTGAGGTCACTATCAATCAGTATTAGATCACATTAAGTCATTATAAGGTCACATTCATTCAATGTGAGGTCACATTCAGTCTGGAGTCACATTCAATCAGTATTAGGTAACATTCAGTCTGTGTGAGGTCACATTCAGTCTGTGTGAGATCATGTTCAGTCAGTGTGAGGTCATATTTAGTTTGTGTGAGGTCACATTAAGTCTTTATAAGGTCACATTCATTCACTGTGAGGTCACATTCAACCTGTGTGAGGTCACATTCAGTCTGTGTGAGGTCACATTAAGTCAGTGTGAGGTCACTGTAAGGTCACAGTCAGCCTGTGTGAGGTCACATTAAGCCATTGTGAGGTCACTGTAAGGTCACATTCAGTTAGTGTGAGGTCACATTCAATCAGTGTGAAGTCACTTTCAGCACTTTCAGTCAGTGCAAGGTCACATTCAGTCAGTATGAGGTAACATGTAGTCTGTGTGAAGTCACATTATGTCAGTATGAGGTCACCTTCCGTCTCTGTGTGAGGTAACATTCAGTCAGGGGAGGGCTGAACGTTTGGTCGGGCAGGGGGCAAGTAGAAACAAATGGCTATTTTCAGCCCCATATATCAGTATGGATGGCCCTAAACTCATTCAGCTTGCAATAAATGTAGGTTTGACAGACGGAGGCTGCTGGAGCTGCTATCATGATCACGGTCTCATTTCACCCTGCATTCACTGGCAAACACTTCCAGGAACATCACTCATACTCATTGTAGTCTGACTGCGTGCTCAGTCTGATGGAAAATATCCAAGTGGGCCAGTCCAGGCCTGGAGAGCATTGACAGAACAGCGATAAGTCCACTCACAAACCCACACAGTGACGGGCTAGCGAAGGACCTGCGCAGTCCCTGCCTGTTACCCCATACCCGCAAAACTGTGTAAACAGATATCACACCTGCTACTATTTTAATTTCCAAAGAATGGTATGAAGCTGTAGCCCACATCTCACTTACTAGTCCTCCCATGTATTCAGTCAGTTGTGGTCATAATCAGTCTGTGTGAGGTCACATTCCGCCAAAGTGAGGTCACATTCCGCCAAGGTGAGGTCACATTCTGTTAGTGTTTCGTCACATTCAGTCTGTGTGAGGATAACATTTAGCCTATGTAAGGTCACATTCAATCCGTGTGAGGTCACATTCAGTCTGTGTGAGGTCACATTCAGTCTGTGAGGTCACGTTTAGGCAGTGTGAGGTCACGTTTAGGCAGTGTGAGGTCGCCTTCAGTTGTTTCAGTTATAGCAATGAAGCAACTACAAGCTTTTTCAGTATGAGGAACCATGTTAAGCTATAGAACTACATCCAGGTCAGAGGTAACAGGAAACAGATAGTATAAGGCAATACAGTATTACCATAAGCAAACAGTTACAGAATTTGCATAATAACTCCAAACATCAGTCTCAATGTGAGGTCACATTCAGACATTGTGAGGTCACATTCAGACATTGTGA